GAAGGCTACTTTTTCGATTTTTTTTCCAGTCAGATCTGTGGCTTAGATATATTTTTAATTCTCATAAAGACTGAAACTAAAATAGGACTTTTCAGAGATTTTATCATTACAAATTAAGTAATTCATTCATTATGTGCAATTCCTCACCAACAGATGGTGTAACAATCCTTCACGGAGAAGCTTTAGGCCTTTAAACAATTTTTAATCCTTTTCCCTCAAAAAGAAATATTCGTGTTAGCTATTGTAAAAACTACCATTGCTGTGTTGTCCTAACTAAACATTTTTGTATTCTTGATTTCTTAACAGCTTGGAGTTTGAATCTTGCTCAGTTTTGAGTATAAATGAAAAGTTGCAGTAAGGTGAAAAGTGTTGAGCTACCCATTTCTTTATCGTTTGCTAAGAAAATAGGAAATAAATGGAGCGATTTATTGAAACATTGAAAAAAAGACATGGAGATACAGTATATAAGGTATAAAGAGACTTTTTACAATTGTAGCGCACTTGGTAATCAATATTTGGTATGCCCACATTTATTCTCTAACATAACTCTCTTAGACAAGCTTGAGTAATCTAAAATAGTTCTTCATGCTGTTTTTACTACACTGGCAGTGTGTTTGGCATCAGTCATGTTGAAAAATGAAGCCACTGTCATTCAAAATCCTTTTCAGATGGTATTACATGTTTGATCAAATTCTGAATGTACTTTTCTGTGTTCATAATTCCATCAGTTTCGACAAAAATCCCAAACATCACTGGCTGAAAGTTAGCCTCAAACTATCCCCTACATATGAATGACAAGACCTGTTGACACTGATTTTCAGCCCAGTTCTTCTTTTTTAATCCTCTACTTGTTCAGCTTGCTCAAATTTTTTAAGGAAATGCTGCACACCATGCTGTGATGTTCCAGATTTTGGGCTAATAGCTCTTTGGGAATCAGCTTGTTGGTGCAAGAACATATATATTTTATGCCAATCAAACTGTTGATTAACTCTCGAGAGCTATTGCTCAAATTACAATAAATAAATAAATAAATACAGTGGCTTTTTGCAAGAAAAATACAAAGAAATCAAAGGCGGCTCAAGACTTTTGCCCAATACGGTAAATTGAAGAACTTGTTAGTTTTAAGACAAAGAACAGAACTATAGTTTAAAATAAAGAATAGTCTGAAATTTGGTTATTTTTAAGGCCGATAACTAATAAACAATTGGACCTGTTTTTTTCACATATTTTATGGTGAACAGTTACACACTGAGTGAACTGTTTTACGTCAAATGGAGTTTTGTGCATCTTTACTAAATGTGCATGTTGGTGCCTAACATACAGTCAGTATACACCTCATATATACCATATGTAACGGCCCTACAAACAAAACATACTAAATACAAATCAAATGCAGATTAAATGTGGGTTAAACTATTGTTTTTCAGACAGAGCTTATAAACAGAAACACAATTAAAAAACATATCCCATCTTTATTAAGTGCTACATACTAGTACTTATAATATATTACAGAGAGTAAAATAGAGTTTAGGGTTTGTGAGCAGGTGGGGAAAAGGAAGAAAGGTCAGGAAAACTCAGGGTGAAGTTAAATAATGCCGAGCTGCTTTTTCAACTTGTCCAGTTGCTCCAAGCTGATGTTGTTGCCGCCACACACCACAATGACCACAGGGCCCAGGTGCTGCGGCAGCTTGCGCTCATCCCTCAGCCTTGTGATAATGCCACTGTACACCGCTGCCAGAGCAGCACCACAGGCAGGCTCCACCAGGATCTTCTCATCATCTGCAGAGGCAGAATATCAGCAGAGATTGGCGATCAGATTGGTCATTTCAAATCTGTTGTTCGTCTCTTCAGGTTGTACTCACCCACAAAGCGTTCAACAGCTTTCACAGCCTCCTGGTCTGTGACTACTTCTGACAGAATCGGGTGTTCTTGTGACAGTTTCATTGTCTGCGCTGAGACCTTTGCCACGCCCAGTGTGGTTGCAACACTGTAGAGTATAATACAAGGCCGCTGTTCACCACCAGTCCGAACATTTGTTGACACCCTTATTTTTTTTAGTTAATTAGCTAATCATCAGTACCTTGTAATTGCAGGTAAAGTCACATGCTCTCCAGCCTCCATGGCTGCATGGAGGCTATGTGCACCCATGGTTTCCATGGCTACAACAGGGACGTCAGCCCAGTTGGCGCGACGCAGTCCCTCCACCACCCCGTTCAGCAGGCCCCCGCCTCCCACTGACAGCACTATCGCTCCTGGCTTCTCCTTCAGGTCGTGCTCCAGCTCCTTTGATGATCTCCAGAGATGTGTGGCCTTCCCTTTGTACACAAACGCAAGCTGTCAGTTCCTAGAAACTCAGCACTGATTTTGCTTTAATGCACAGCAATACAGGAAATCTCTGCATGGTGCAGCCTGGTTTATAAAGCTCGGTTGTGGCATATGATTATCAAATGCTAATTATATACCAAGTAGCCCATAATTTCAATAATTTACGGTTAAGCTTAACACTTTGAATGTGACATCTCAAACAAATTAGTTATCTGACAACCTCCCCCCAGAATAGCTGTGATAACATACATCTTGCCACATCATCTCATTTACTCCTTGCAACTGCTCTGTTCATGCATGATAAGACAGGTGTCACAGTAACAGAAGGCTAATGTAAACACAGTCACAGCTCCGAGGATGCCGACTGAAGCCATCTTACCAGATGAGGGGATCATCAAAGGGAGGGATGTATATCCAGCCAGCGTTGTTTGCCACAAGCTCCTGTCCGTATGCAATGCCTTCATCTACATTCTGTGGAAAAGAAAAGATACAAATGATCTGGTATATCTTTTTTCCCCCCAGTTCCCTTCAGCATTATCCAAGGTTGGATATTTGCCTCTCAATGAATCAATGAAAACCATTTAATACTCATCTTGTGTTCTAAATGTAACCTGTGGGTTAATAAAATGAAACATTTTCATTCAGAATCTACCACCCTCGTACATCCATTTGTTCTGGGAAAAAGTAAAAAAGTGACTGAGGAACATTTAACTAACCTTGCCATGAATGATCACAGTGGCTCCCTCGTCCCTCATTTTCTCCACTGTTATGTTCGGTGTGACGTTTGGGACAATGATAGTTGCAGGAACCCCGAGCTTGCGGGCAGAATAAGCTGCTGCCATGCCGGCATTTCCTCCTATTGAAACAAACAAACAAACAAAAAATTAGACACACTGAATGCATCAATATGGTAAAGTAGAGACTGGTGTATTCTCACCTGAACAGCAGACAAATCGCTCATATCCTCGCTCTGCCAGCTACAAGGAAACCCATAAGAAACATGTCAACACAGAATTCATGAGCTAGTAAACTGATCCTTGCCGGTTCCTTTCACTCCCGACAAGATCCTCTTTCAAATGCAGGGCAAATCAAATCATTGCCAGATAGGAATTACTCGCCGTTTTGCACAGGTGACCGAGGCCCCTGATCTTAAAGGATCCTGTCGGTTGCGACGAATCCAGCTTGAGGTAAATAGAGGTCCCGGCCAGTTTGGTCAGGGCAAGGCTCTCCCTCACTGGAGTGGCCACATGAAGATCCTGCTGGGTCTTCATTTCACTTTGGACCAAAGGGCAAGCAAATGTTTTTTAAAAAGATTAAAAAAAACCAAAACATCGACCTAAAAAAATTACAAAATGTCAATTCACAATGAGGTCATTTATACAAGAAGAATGCAAGTTTCAGCTCACCTAGTTGTAGACATGTTTCCCTGAATATTACAGATCCTCTGGATCCTTATGCTTGTGTTTCTTTATCACTAAAATTTGTCAAATTTATATAGCACTTGTCTTTGGACTTGACAAACCAAACCCATTTCTCAACCAATCGGCATTGCTCATTCAGACCAGACTCCTCCCAGTCATGATGAGGATGAGACAACCCAAAAGTGAATGACTTTCTGCATGCAAGCACAATTTTTGTGAAATGTGCTTATTATTATGTTATTATTATAACAATCTGAGAACCAAATCATAGAAAAAACACAACCTCCTGCTTAGTACTGATACAGTTGGGAAAGAATATTTAAAAAATGTCCACAAAGTAGATGTTTTTAAAACAGTTCCCTGTTATTAGCTGCCTAGTTTCATTTTGTTCGTTTTATTTGAATCTACCCATGATGGATTTACTTGCTCTCTTCCATCTAAAGGAGTTGGACACAGTACTGGCATCCCCAATCACCAACAAACAAAGGCAGGCACTGAGTGTGAGTCACTGTGTCACAACTGAATTCCCAAAAAACCTGTCATGGTTACAAAACACAGTCATCATCACCCATTTTTCTTGACAGTCATCGTTCCACTGAAACTGTTTCTGAATCATTAGACATCCGCCTAATTGTCCATGGTCTAAATTCACTCTGGATCCTTTCTGTGTGGAATTTGCATGTTCTCCCCATGTCTGTGTTGGTTCTCTTTGGGTTCTCCAGTATCCTCCCACAGTCCAGAGGCATGCAGCTAATGTGGGTTAGGTTAACTGGTCATTCATTGCCCATAAGTGTGAATGTGAGTACGAATGGCTGTCTGTCTGACTGCCTCTCAACCTATGGCAGCTGGCATAGGCTCTAATCTCCTGCGCAACACTGAATTGGATAAGTGGAAAAGGATGGAGGGATGTTTTCTTTTGCTTATTAAGCAACTTAACACTGACCTATGACTCATTCAAGCACCTAACCAGTGTTGTGTGTTTACATAACAGGCAGCTTAGCACAAAAACTATTTTGAATTGTATGGTTAGGCACTTTGTTACTAGCAGCTGATTTTCCCCATTTGTAAGAAAAATGCCAATGATAACACAGTTTGGCATAAAATAGCATTTTAAGGTTTAAGCTAAAAACTTGGGATATCTGGGCATGGCGTGCAGTATGCACACCATGCTACTGCACGTGTATACAGTGCATATTATATATGTGTTATATTTGGTTTGTAAATCGCTTTGGTATAATATTTCATAAACAGCATTTAAGTTTAGCTACTTGTTACGTCTCCATTACACCGCATTTACACTCTGGTCTCCTTAAGTGAGTAATAATTGAGTTCCTGGTGGTGTCAGAGAGGCCCTTTGACCGCATGTTGTCCATTCACAGCAAAATCTTACAAATGCAAGCACCACACTTCAAATCAACTCCAGGCCTTTGATCTGCTTAACTGATAACAACATGACAAAGGAATTGCCCACACCTGTCCAATAAAGAGCCTTTTAGTTGATTGTCCATTTACTTCTGGTCCCCTTTAAAAAGGGTGGCACATGTTAAGGAGCTAAAACTCCTAAACCCTTTATCCTGTTTTACTGTAAATACTCTTAAATGACAGCTTAAAGTTTACATTTACACACTATGTCCATGTCCATTATATAACTATTACTGGAATATGTTTCAGTAAACATAAGTAAACAAGTAAAAAAATATGAAATAAACATGTGTCAGTGTTCAAATATATATAGACCTAACTGTATGTCTTAAATTTGACCTAGAAATTTCAGCAAAGCAGTATAAAAGCTCAGTAAGCACTGATAGGACACAAAGTCTTTTGGTCTCTTCCTCAATTACACACATTGCTCAAGACAGTTTTCTTTGAATAGAACACACAATGGAACTGAATCCACCTATTGAGTCAGTGAGAAACCACCCTATGATATTTAGAGCTAGAACTTCTGTAAAAAAAAAAAGAGTACACTGCCAGTGTTTTACTGGCAGTTACTTAACTGCCAGTAAAACAAAAGTAAAATAGACAAACCATGACTCAGTCGTCATGATGAGAACTAATTGTCAAAAGAGACAGGCACATTCACCAAGTCACATCACCAGCACTGGCTGGTCAAGTATGAAAATGTGAGGGTTCCTGTGACCAACAACTTAAAGACCAATTAGTTAAAATGATAATTAGATCAAGAGCAAAAAAACAAAACATAACAAAACAAAAACACAACAACAAAACAGTCAAAGAGTATTTGTACATGAAGACATTTCTTTATTGTGACACAAATCTCAAATGCCATCTGATTCTTTACATCTGTATAATCCATTTTTAGATATGTTAAGTTTCCGATGTGCAGAGGTAAGACAGTAAAAGTTAAGTTAATGCAACCATAAATAATTGTAATAAATATCAAGTAAATGTACAGCACACATTTTATCGTAACACCTCCTTGTATGGATATGTCCGTTTTATAACCTTTCCTACCCCTCCCAAGAAGGAGTAGTAGAAGAGAGAGCGTCCCTGTTAGCAGCGGTGTATCACCCTTCAAAAGGAACTGAACCAAAAACCAAAAAATTTGCAAGCAATCAACAACCCAATTAGTCAAATAGCAATTTTTGCTGTGTTTTTCAGTACTATCCAAGTAAAATGGCGATTTTACTCACACAAGAAAAACATGTTTCACCATGAGTAGAAGAAATTGAATCCATCTGAGTACAAGACAAAGGTGATAATAATATTATTGGTATTTCCAAAAAATTCATAAAAAATAACAACACAACAAACTGGATATCCAACAGACATCAGCTAGTTTGCTCATTTTAGAATCTTTTCTTGGAAGAGTAGTGCAAACCGAAAACCAAAAGTTATAAGGTGAAGTGAATTAGCAATTAATAAAAATTGCCAAACGTAACTTTAGTCTATTTACATTTTTTTCCATCCTATTTATTTATTTTATTTTATTGTTTTTTAAACACAGCTAAACATTTGGTTATGGGTAATTTGACTAAAAGAAAAAGAAAAGAAAAAAGCAGAATGCTGTTCATTTCTCATTAAAGAAAACTATGAAAAGGCTGAACTCAAGTTAACCCGCTGCCCCTCGGTGTACGTGTGAAGATCACGTATATTGGGAATAGGAAACTGGGACATTCACATTCAGTAGAAGTTATTACACAAACAATGTGGAAGAGCAGCAGCTCATGGGTTCCCTTCCTGTTTTCACAATGCAACATAGGTTTCACAATTTGTAATGCAACTTTATAAAAAACCCAAAACAAAACAAAACAAAAAAACAGAGCAGGCTTCGATTACCATCGTCCAATCTACCTGACCCATTGTTCTGCCACAGCTACTAAGGTATTAAAAAAACAAACAAACAAAAAAAAAAACAAAAGAAAAAAAAATAAAAGTATCTATCTATTCATAAACTAATAGATTAATATGACTTTTTACATGACTTAAATACCCTCCCTTCAGAGACTTGGATAAAATGTAATCAGTTTATATAGGCATAAGTTAGTTTGTCCATTAGGAGTTCATTTTTATTTAAAACAGGCAGTAAACTACATAATATCCTGTACAGCACTTGTTCACACCTTCTGCCTGCTTATACTTGACAGGTTCCAAGACTAGACAGCAATACAAATTTCTTTTCTTTTCTTTTTTTTTGGGGGGGGGAGAGTCATTGTACCTTAAACTCAAAAGCCATGATCATCATCTGATTTTCGCACACAGCATCACCCTCTTGAGAGAGGCTCCTACAGCAAAGGCATGTTTCTGAACATCACCCCCACAGAAGGGTGGCAGAGGGAGGCAGCTAGGTTAAGCGTTAGGAGAGTAAATGTTTGTTTTGTGCCATAATGGCAATGCCAAATCCAGCGAGTCAGACCGAGATTACAGTGCTAAAATGTTAAGCAATCGTGAATTCAATTAAATTCAAAGTGCTGATCTCAAAGTTAGCCCGTAACGCTGCTAAATTCACAGAATTTGACTGAACCTTGTTAATCCTTCTGTTAAAGGAAAGGGGAGGAAAGGGTGAACAAAAAGTCTCACAGTTGGTTCACTTCAGCGTCGTCCTCAAACTCCGTGTCAGTGCCAATTCAGAATATCTTCCCTGAATTCCCTTGAAAAAAAAATTTAAAAAATAAAATACAATAACAAGAAAAAACAAAGCAAAACAAATCAAAATAATGAAATGTACGATTTGTGTAAACTGCAATAAAAAGCAGGGATAAACAAAGCATTGCCACTGAAAATGTAATAAAGTTAACTTTGTGGCTTGTCGATGCAGCAGAGCATAAGGTCTGTCTCAGAGGAAAGTCCAGGAACTTGGGGATGAAGGGAGGAAAGGGGTCACGGGTGAGGGTCAGGTTTGGGGCAGATGGGGGGGAATATTCAGTTGTCAAGTCTTCTCAGCCGCTGAGTGGGTCCTCGCGGTAGTGGATGGCGTAGCGCAGTTTCTCCAGCATCACGTCCAAAGAAGTATACTGGGGCAGTTTCACCATGAACATACAGGTCTCCACCCGGATGTAGCGCGAGTCTGGCTGACCTAAAGGGGAAACAGGAGTTCATAACCCAGCGCTTCTCTCCCAGTTATGCATGTTTGTCAGTTGTTAATGAACCAGAAGCCCAATGACGTGCTACGTAGCAGGTGCTATAATAAGCTGCCAGCTATGCAGGTGTACAGTAAATGACAGCAAGCCTGAGATTTTGAATGTGCGTCTGTAATTTAACATTTTAGAGTTTCCTCAAGTTTGCAAGAGAAGCTGAGATGATTTAACGTGACTACTTATGTCACTCAAGTCTGCTCGGGGTCTTGCTTAACCCTCAGATCTTACCTGCTGCTCCATCAGGAGGGGCGA